CACACATCATTAGGATAGTTTCACTTATGTGGATCACTGAAAGGCATTCACTTTGTCACAGGTTCTACATTGGCAAAACAATTTCGAGTCAATTACACCACTGTAACTTATTTATTATCTAGAGTTCTAAATCCTAAAACAAGGATATGATTATGGACGCCGTAGCTGAGGGTTCCAAAAATTTTAACCACTTGGTGTTAACAGACACTGACATTGCACAGTGCACAGTCCTCAACCATTTCGCCACCACTGAAATGCGACCGCCATGGCCGAGATTGAACTTGCGACCTTTGGGTCAGCACCCAAGTCACTGATTTACTATGGCGGACCAAGTGCACCACTGTCCAAGACGACATTACAACTACAGAGTCCAGTCACATGCTTTAAAGGGGCCCTGCAACACTTTCTGAGCACGGTCAGAAAATGCTACCTATCGGTAGCAGAGGCTCCAGAGAACAAGCCTGCCAAATATTATCGCGCAGCATGTGGCCGGAAATTTCCAATGAATTCTAAGATGCTTATAAACCAAACAGAAAATAATACCAAAAAAAGTGTAAGGGATGTTATTAGAGTTAATTGTAATGCAAATGTGAAGAAAGCAAAGTGGACGAAAAGATAACTTGCCATCGGCAGGGGGCCAAACCTGCAACCGTTAGTCAGCTGCCAGGTCGTAATAAGATCACGTGCTACGCGATGTCAAAAGACAGAAAAAGAGTGTGCCACGCTCGCCGTCCTGGCTAATAGGGCACCGACTGACACTCCCACATTGAAATGCACACATATACCCGATAAAATGAACAGGGAGATGGCCGCTGCGATAGCTCAGTTGATAGAGCATCGGACGCATTATTCGAAGGTTGCAGGTTCCAGTTCCTGTCCACACCAGTAATCTTTTTGTCACGTTTGTATCTTCATATTACATTACATTTATAACACATAACTTCCCCTGTACTACTTATGGCATTACTCTCGCTTAGTTCTATTAGTACTGTGTCTATCAAAGAAAAACAAGCCCTTAAAATGCCCGTTCTTTTCATAAATTCTCTATTTTAGCTAAAATCACTTCGTCTTCTCTCGTAAAAGATTACTACATATCAGAAACCCATCATAGGCTCAGCTATCACGCATTGGCTTGTTTGAGCAACACACGCTCGGGAGTCTACTGGGGCCGCCGCGAAAGCCCCCCGACCTGTCTGAGTGCGATGAAAATCGAAAAGCCGTGCATTAAAGAGAGAAAAAAAGGGGGGCGGGAGGGGGGGAAGTGCTCAAGGTTATGAGGCACGCATGACGCATTTTCATTCCCCTGTTCCCTTTCTGCCTGCTTATTCATCCAGCGCTTTCATTGAGGACGAGAGGAGAGAGAGAGAAAGCAATTGCAGCATGCGACCAATCAAGTGCAACTCTGCTCGTACTGGACACATTCTCAAAATTTTAGCACAAGTGAATTCGTGAGGGAATAAGCTTCTTAGTGAATCCATTGCATGACTACTTCGAAAAGTGTAACGAGGCCTCTTTAACAGCCAATTTTAAACTAAATCTAAGAACTCGATTACGCATACAAGCCGAAAGAGGGGGCATTGAAGTACAGCACACCCAAGACACTTTAATCGATCCATGCTGCTTGACACCAGCTGTGCAACAGAGAAAGTCACAATGAAGGAAGGTCGATTGCGATTGAAAGTGACACTTGGACTGTGCCACGACATGTTCATTTAATGTGGTGCTGACTTGCGAACCCAGTAAGAAGTTACCAACAAAACGCAGAAGTCTAAAACAAAGCACCAACCTGCCGGAGATGTCTAAGCCATTTGTAATTTATTGAAAGTTAGACTTTAATAATGAGACATCAAAAGAAATCAGGAGGTCCCAATACAGTCTCTTGACCATGGGACCCCCTTCTGCATAGCTAAATGCTTGTTTGGTACACAATTTTATCAATAACATTCTTATTCTGGATGGTGCACTGCATGACATGTATGTGTATGATTATTGGCTATGTAGAAACTGAACGACTTTTTTTTGTACCCATATACATGGTTTTCAAAAGAGCCATTGCCGAAGTACTCTACAGAGAACACTAAATAATTTATGACAGCGATAAGTGAAAATCGGGAAACAAAATGAAATCCTTACCATTACCAAGCCAGCCGAGGTATCATCACCAGCAAACGAAACTAAAGAAAAGAACGCAAGAGAAAACGCAAAAACAACGATAGAACGAAACTTAACAAAATGCACAAGAACACGGGTTGACATCAGACGAGAAAAGGTAACAAGTTGTAGTACGTGCTATACGTAACATGCCAACATGGAAAGGTAGAATATAGTAATTAGAACAACGGGGGCCGAAAAGCCGTCCTCGATATGGAACATAAACAGCTGCGAGGTCTCGAACCAGCCAAAATTAACGCCCGCTCCACGCTGTCACGCAAGAGACGACCGGGACGGACAAACAGAGCCACCTAATCCGTTGAAATGCCAGCTGAAGGGCGGGTAGAAGAGCTGTCAAAAGACGCACGGCTTCATACAAACAAACCCGGCTTGTAAAGTACGCGACTGCGCATCTTTCTAAGCTCACGAGAGCCAATACGACCTTTCCTAGTGGGCAGTTTCTCCGCATCAATGAACCGTAGAGTATCCCTTACGTAACAGTAAGAACGGATGGGTAGATCACAACAGCACCATTTAGGTAGTGCAAAACGCGCGGTTACAGCTTCACAAAACCACGAACGGTATCGCAGTTTTTTGACGAAAATCAAAAGCCGCCCGTCCCGTACCTCAAAAGCGGCTAACGTGTCCGACACCCGATTCCATGCCCGGTATTAGTTTACAAAAATCACGAGCGCTCCCAAAGCAGAACCACTATCACGCGATAGGCGCATCTCCCTATACAGACCAGTTGGTCTCCAGGCACCACCGAGACGTACGGTAGGCTCCAGTTTAAGTCCTAGACAAAGCCTGGTCATTCGCTTACCTGTAGCAATTGATGGTGCCTTAATATGTTGGGGCATCTGGTCAAAAAATATCTTGAAAGGCTCGAATTGCGGGTCAGCCATATTACCAGCGACCACACAGGGTTATACATTGGCGGTTGGCAACAGCAGCAGATGGATGGGTGGATGGATAGATGTGGCTGTACCCCTTAGATTGGGCGGTGCTTAGCGTCACCAAGCCGTAATACTTAATAAACTCAAAACAATATTTATTTATTTTTTCCTTAAAAAGTGAGTTTGAGGATTCGTACTTTGCAATTTAGAGTTTATTTTCACTCGTTCCTTCATTTTAGCCACCAATCAGATAACCTCCTTCCAGTTAAGTCTACTGCCTAAAGTCTATTTTGCCCTCCCGGTCCCTAAACCCCAGTGCTTTGAAAAACTCTGCGCCATCATCCTGAACTATAGGGCGAAGCCCTTTACAGAACATTACCAAGTATTCGGCAGTTTCTTCTTCCTCTCCACACGCACTGCATACTGTAGGAATCTTCGATTTGGCTTGCACTAGTCAGAAAAGTGCAGGTGCAGAAAAAGCGGTGCCAAGCGTGTGCAGTGAGCGTGCAGCGCCGGTTCGAGCAAGTGCAGGTGCAGCCTCAACCACGCCTCGGCACTAGCCGACACTAGCGCGCGACGGCTACAGCCAAACGAAGGCGTGAGTTGACGTGAGTGCAGGCCGGAGAACACCTTGTAGTGTAAGCCTAAAATAGCCGCCTCCGCCGCCTTGTCCGATCAATACACGGCCGTGATGGCACTTCTTGTGACTGCGATGGAATTGCTGGACTCGAGCAGCGACGACGATTCCGTCAGCGGTGCCGTTTGCAGTGACTGCGACGATGAGTACGACGATGCGTGCATCTTGGTCGCGTGCGCGTTGGTGCGCGACGATGCCAACCGTGTACCCGGGTACGAAAGCATTATCGGCAGGTACCATGAGTATGAATTCAAGCGCCTCTTCAGGCTGTCCAGGGAGACTTTTGATAGTTTCAGGGCCAAGTTCAAGACTTCAGCCTTCTACCCAAGGGCAGTGCAAGGCCGCCAACAAATCAGTGCCGAAAAAACATGCTCATAGCGCTTGTGTACCTAGGCTCACAAATATCTATGTACTCCATAGGCGACAAATTCGATGTTACCGAGTCGTCTGTTCATGTTTGTGTGACACGGGTCGTTCACTTCTTACACGCTATTAGCGATGAGATAATTTGCTGGCCTAGTAGCGCGGAAGTGACCCGCATAAAGAACGGCTTCCTCGCCAAAAGTAAAGGCAAGGGCCCAAGAAACACCATCGGCTGTATCGATGGATCACACATCGGGATACTCACTCCAAGCGAATCTACGCAGTCTTACTTCAACCGGAAAAAGTGGCCTTCGATAATCCTGCAAGGAATCTGCGACGACAGGAACAAGTTGCTGAACGTGTTTATTGGGTTTCCAGGTTCGGTTCACGACGCCCGTGTCCTGAGGGAGAGCCCCTTCTTTGCACGCGCAATTCAGGAATGTGAAGACAATTATATACTGGGTGACAGTGCATATCCACTGATGCCATGGCTCATGACCCCATTCAAGGACAATGGAAGTTCTTTTCCTACGTGGAAAAAGAGCTTCAATAAACGACACAGTCAACAACGAGTGCTTATTGAGAACACCTTCGGCCTGCTTAAACAGCGTTTTAGGAGGCTCTACCTTGTTGATGCAAAAAGTGTGCAACAGTGCTGCTATATAGTTATGGCTGCGGTGTGCTACACAACATGTGCAACGATGAAAGGGACTTCCTTGAGGAACTTGCAACGCTTCCCCAAGAAGAAGATGTGGGCAATGATGAAAGTGAAGGAGATTTTGATTGCAGTCTGCCAGGCTACAGTCAGTCTCTGCGAGAGTTCATTGCAAAGGAACAGTGCTAGAAGTTCATCTTTGCTTCGCGATTTATTCAGTGTGCAAATGTTTTGCGAAGTGGGGTGCCGCGTCTAGAAGCAATGTTTTTTTTTAACAAATTAGATGGAGTAGACACTGCTAGTGTTATAAAAGTTTATTGCCCATATAATAACCCGTCCTTATTGAGGAGTACGTCGATCAACCGATCGAATCGCTGCATGCGCTCATCATGCCGCTTTGCCTTTGCCTCTTCCCATTTTTTTCTTTCCTCCAGTTGTTTCACTGCTGCCTCCTCTTGCTTAGCTCTCGAAGCTTGCATTTTTCTAATGCCTCCAAGAGCGGCGTGACTTGGGACCTACTCTGGCGCTTCCTTTTTGGCGTTGTGCTGCTCCGAACTTTGGATGCTGTGTTGCACTCGACTGGGACTGCTGCATCTTGAGGTGCTTCAGTGATGCTGGTGCTGTTGAAAGTAATTGTACAGGTGCCATGTCATTTCCAGGCTACAGCACAAATTAAGTAATTTTTACTTACTCTGGACTTGCACTAGGCAGGATTGTTTTTCCAGGCTCCAAGAGCAGCCTGTGATTTACACTATGTTCTTTTTCCAAGACTTCTGCCAGCTCTCTGTAATAGACACTATGAGAATCACTGAAGATATGAAGACACAATCGTAACTTACTCTTCATATTCACAGTTCACACGGTGGTGACCTGAAGAATTGTTGTCTTTTTTTGACTTTTTATATGCTCTGTCCAGCGACTTCCATTTGTTTTTCCACTTGTGTGGCAGTCACGTTGCACAAGAACTCCGTATTGATGGCCTCAGCCAACTTCTTCCACAGAAGCCTTCTTGTGCTAAACAAAAAAGCAAAGCACAGTTAGTAGGAAAGAAGGAAGCGACGTAACGTGACCCAAGTCTTGCAGTAGCACATGAACCTTTCCTTAGTACTTCATATGTGTAGCTTTCAGGGATAATTGCTAGGGATGTTCGATTATTTCGAAAATTTTGGATAATGAATCAAACAGCACTGTATTCGGTTCCTAAGTCGAATCGAATTGCACATATTCTAAGTAACAAATATTCTTTTAATAATCGGCACTGGCGGGAGAACCCCAAAACAACGAAAACAGCTACAAGTCATTCTTTCAATCCCTAATGTGACCTGTACGCAGCCCAAGCTTTTGCAAGACTACCTACACTATATTGATTGTCGAATGAATGCGCTTCTGAAAGCTCCATTCTTGCTCAATTTTTACTGCACTTTAGCTGTATCGCATTTATCAGCTCCTGTCTTCGTCTTGTAATAACCAAAGGTGGGAACTACGAGTGCTTGCAGCTTCACGACTAGCAACAGATACAAGTTTTGCGTTTGCGTAAATTGTTCTTGCAGATGTAAATTTCAACGCCCATTGTTATCCGCTTTTAGTGCGCAGGCCATGTTGTGATGACGGGTTGATCTGCTCCGTTACATATTTGTAGGCAACAATAACCATCGCCATTGTGAACTTCATGCGCCCTTATCTTGTTGGTGCTTGCCTAGAGTGAAACGGAATAATAAAAAGCTGCAATAATTTTGGACATAGGATGACATACCGAAGTGCCCTGGTTTTTCCCACCAAGTCCTTCATTTCCGAGTATTTGGCGATGAAGAACCTTGTTTTTCGGGCGCTCCAAAGCTCTTCCACATCTTCAGCCGACGCGGCTGCTGCTGGAAATGCGGCTAAAGCCCCATCGCTGTCAACGTCGCCGTCGCAGGCAGGAGAAGGCGTCGGCGGTTGTGCCGGAGGGGGGTCATTTTCACGATTCCCTGCCATGAACCGCAACGTAACGCGCTTGCCGTCTGCAAGGGCGAAAACCAAGATTAAAATACCGACATAGCATAAGCAATGCTACGAGGCTGTTTGCTGACCGACTACGACTCCTGGCCGCTAACCACGTTTTTTGGCAATGCATGCAGCCTGCCTTACCTGATGCCTCATAGACGTAAACCGTTGGCGTCCGTCATAAATGACCCGTCGGGATTGTGAAGTGCCTTAACTTCCTTTTGAACGCCCTGAACAACTATTTGCAACGTCGTCTGCTCTGGCCTTGGGGGGACGCCCGCCATGCTGCACTACTCTGCACCTGCTTTGGAGTGCGTGCACGCCGGTACAGAACTCGTCAGGAACTAGGCTTACACCTAGACAAAACGAGGGAGCCAGTGCAGAGGGTGCGACAGAGGGCGCGCGCTGCTCCGGCAAAACGAGGACGAAGGTGCTGCACCCTTTGAACTGGTTCAGCCGGTGCAGCCAAAACGAAGAGACCATGTGTCTAACCCTTCGTATTTGGCCCGATATGTCTTGGTTCGCAGTACTCCCGTCCTTGCCTCAACCAGTAGAGAACTACCCCGAGTATTATCATAGATCCTTTCCTTGGCAATTTCCTGCTTAAAAGTTCGATAGATCTCTAGTGCGCACTTCTTAATCATGCCCATTTTGCACATGTCAGTCTCCGTTTCCTTCACTTTCTTCTTAACCGATAGTTCTTTTTGGTTTGGCCACCTGCTGTTTTCTAAGTATTTACCAATCAACACGGAGGAAGGACCTTTTTCCTTCCTCCATGCCAGTCAACTTCCTGGTTCGCTTCCTCTATTTTGTATAGACATTCTTCATGTACAAGTAGCTGAAAACCTTCCTAGCCCAACGCTCCTCCTTCATTCTCTCAATCGCTTCTCAAATTTTATCTTGCTGCTAGCTTCCCTGCCCTCAAATGATGTCCATCCCATATCACCTTGTACTCCCTGATTTGGTGTATTCCCGTGAGCTCCTAAAGCAAGCCTACCTATTCCACGTTGCTTAATTTCTAATCTTGCTTGAACTTCTGATCTCATGAACAAGGACCGCATTGCCGAACGTCAAGCCTAGGAACCATGACCCCTTTCCATATTCCTCTCACAACATCATACCTATTGTAATTCCACAGTTGCCTATTTTTCATCACTGCTGCATTCCTGTTACCTTTAGGCGTCACGTATATTTCGTGTTCCCTCAGGTACTCGGTCCCCATTGCTTATACCATACGCCCAGATATTTGTATTTGTCTGTTATCTCTAGCGTGACCTCCTGTATCCTAAGCTCACTACCTTCGTTGTCATTGGAAAATCATGACTGCTGATTTTTCCTTACTGAATCTAAAATCTAACCTATCTCCCTCATTACCGCAGATGTCCATCAATCTCTGCAAATATTCCTGTTGTTGGCCATTAGCACTATATCATCTGCGTACATTAATGCTGGTAGTGCCTGATCAATAAGTTTTCCTTGTTTGACTAAAAAGAGGTTGAAGCCCAGCCCACTTCCCTCTAATTTTGCCTCTAATCCTTGTAGGTACATCATGAATAATAAGGGTGACAGGGGCACCCCTGCCTAAGCCCCCGTTTTACCTCTGCAGGCTTGGATACCTGTTTTTTTCACTCTATACCTACCTTAATTCTTACATTTATAGATACCCTTTAAAAGATTAGTGACTACATGTTCCACGCCTAGTGTGTCCAGTATTCCCCACAATTCCCCTTGAACCACGCTATCGTACGCTCCCTTGATATCCAAGAATGCTGGCCACAGGGGCCTGTGTTCCTTTTCTGCTATTTCGATGCACTGCGTCAGTGAGAACAGAGAACAGTATGGTGGCGGTTCCTAGTGACGAAAAGGCTGAGCGTTGTTGTTTCGGTTATGGAGCCTAGTGCGCCAAGTACAAGTTTAAAGGTTAAGCTGCCAGAATGATCACCACAGCACGTTTTAAACATACCCGAATCGAAATATACGCTACGCAACAGAGATCGCACAAGCCTCTGAAGCTCTCGGAGTTAAGGTTCTGTTTTTCTTCTTTTCATTTACCCGCTAAGTTATCTTTCACGGCTCTATCTTTATGAAGTGACAACGCGCATTGCACGCTGGTGTATCGAGTCTAAATTACCAAAATGATACAAAAAAGCACGTTGGAGGCATCAGGCACAGCGAACTAACGAAGCAGTGCAAATGTCACGACAGCCATTCAGAAAGTTTCGCGAGCGAACCAGTTCGGGGAATTCCCATCCTTTCGGCGCCATGAAAATGCACAACATTGGGTTACGAACAGCAGATATCTGTTGTAGCCATTGACGACGGCCTCCTCACTGAATCACTGTACGCTTACTTAACACTGTCGTGCAAGGACGCTTCATCGTCACGTCAGCAAAAACAGGACGGTTGCGTTCGGAGCCAGTTTGTGAGTGAGCGGTGTATACTTTAGGGCATAGCGATTTTCAAGTTTTTCTTTCGATATAATGTAGGCATGCACAGCACTCCTGCATAAGTACTGGAGGACAGGACATACTATATGCTACCATCAAATGGAAGCATATAGGTGTTCTGTGATATACCATGTCGCCGCCTCTGACGTACGAAGGGACACCAAGTGGTACCGACTGTGCGAAGTGTTCGAACACTCCAGTGATTCAGACTGTTCAGCCTCAGCTTTTCTTGCTTTGAAAGAGCTGGTTGGGTTTGTGTTAGCTACAAAAGAAGTTATATTGCTTGCTAAAAAAGATTTTTAGCGAGCCACGGAGCATGTGGCGCCACGGACGAACAACATGAAGAGGTTCTATAGTATAAGGCGAGTAGCTGTGTAAATCATCTAGACTTCTGAAAATGAAACATTCTCTCGTTTCGCGTGCATCTGTCTTCACTGAAGTCAGCGAAATGGCGTGCACCTGTCTCTTACTTTGCGTGCAAAGTGCGTGGCCGAGAGATAAACGTTTTATTTCGCATGAATTGCATGCCACGCGCGATTGAAGGCGACACCTCAACCAGTTTTCAGAGTGGTATCAAGTATAGCCGAAAGGGAACGATATTGGACAGTGCTTGTTAAGCTCTCTTGACCTTTTGTAAGGTCACCGAATAATTGTCCCAGTAGCTCAGCACAACACGGTTGCTTACAGAAGCATGACATTCAAGTATTCAACGCAAAAAAAAACAGCATTCGGACCGAATAATTTTCTCCTCCATTGTGCTGCAGACTGCTGTATAAAGCCTGCCAGCCAAGCCTGAATAAATTTCACCCAATTTCTTCGTGCACATTACAGCAAAGTTCCACGTCGTACTCGCCGAAGATTTTATTCTCAACGCAGTACATGAAATTGTTTCCCTAAAGTGCTTATCGCACACGCGACAATAAAGCAGCGTTGCTTCCTGCAACAACGGCTTTATTGTTCATGCACCCTGCTGCTTTTAGGTATCGGGCTAGCAGGAAAACTCGCGTCACAGTGTGAAGTACTGACCACATCACAAGTTCCTTTAATCATACAACGGCTTTACAGTGGGGTTGCTGCGATTCCAGGCTTTGGGAATCGGTCTTTCCAGCCTTAGAGTTAACAAAGATAATTAGTTCATATGCGCCCAATTCACGAAACATACTGTCATTCTAACTCGAACTTTTTGCGGGTGCACGAATGCTAAAAAAAGTGGCCACTGGATGGGGTCAACACTATAGTATGATAGCCGAGTTGTTTCACCCATTTTAGTTTGATCAGTCATGTATGTCACTGCCCCGACGTTTTCGAAGGGCTCGTTCCCATTAGGCTTGCTCGAGTGTGCCCTGCACTGCGGTA